TAAGGTGATACTAAAAATAAAAAATGCTGGATAAACTTGAAGAAGAATACTAGGGTTTAAATAAACTCTACAAAGGCAAAAGTAAATAATAGTAATGGTTTTAGTTTATAAATACTTGTCTTCGGACTGGGTATAAATTACCAAAATCTAAATTAACTATATTGTAGATACAGAAAGCTCTAACAAGTTTATCTTCAAGGATAAAGATTTTCTTAAAATGGTTAAACCTACTTTAAAATTATAAACCAGATATTCAAAAATAAAAGATACAAAATATATTCTCATTTGGTTATAAGATAACTCTATAGGTGCAAAAGATTTAAATAAGTAACTCCCTAGTCAGATTATAAATATAACCTCTAGTGTAAAACTTAGTAATAAATAGACTACTTAAATAGGCAATCAAAAGTTTATGTGTAGCTAGTATATACCCTCCAAATATGTATACGGTATGCTATAAATATATATACTGTAAAGTTAACTTTAATCAAATAAAAAAAGAGATTACCTTAACATCCAAAAAAAAATATATATATATTATTTAAAGATTTTTTTTATTATAATAAAATAAACACTAAATAACCTACCTTTTGGCTTTTAATAAAAGTTGTAAAAAACATTCTTATAATTTTAATGATAGTAAGATCATTAAATTTGTCGGATGTTCTATAGAATAGGTGGGCAAACTCCGCAAACTCCGATATTAAAAAATTAATGTTTACTAATCATTAGCGAAGCTTATTTCTTATATTTCCCACCTATTCTATAGAATATCTAATTTGACCCAGTAGATCACGATATATATATATAATTTTCTTTACAAATAAAATTTTAATCGTGAAACGTGAACCGGATATATCTCGTGATCTACTGGGCCAAATTTAATGATCTTACCATCATTAGAATCGTAAAAATGTTTTCTACAACTTTTATAAAAGGTAGGTTACTTAATAAAAAATCGAATTCGGACTATATAAATAATTATTTCTATATTATCCACCCCATATATATCAACCAAATTACCTGAGATATTTAAATTAGGTTTAAATTAGTTAAGCTCAAAATCTTTAACAAATTATTGATATTTTTTTTTTAATGTATAATTTAAATATATACTGTATATCCTGAATAAATTATAACCAAATTTATTTAAAAAATAAAAAAAAATAAAAACAGTTTAAATCCAATACTGAAATATACCATATTTAAATCCAAGTTACAATAAGATATTTGTTTAATAATATTTTGAACAATATACTAATAGCAAAAATAATTTTATTAAATAGATAATACAGTATAACAAGGATTTTATAAATTAAAAAACGAGTCATTTCTTCTAATTACTATTACGATTTTGTCCCTTGATTATTTTGTTAGTTTTGCGCTTTCTCGTCAATATATCTGATCCTTTTTTACGTTTCTTTTTAGTTTTGGGCTTTTGCTGTTCTTCAGAGAGGTTTTTTTCTTTTTCTTGGGATAACTTTGGCTTATCCTGATCATGTTTCTAAATTAATAGCCAGAAACAAAAATATTGAGATATGTAATAATAACAAAACGTTAATTGCATAATTATAAATGCATTTACTTTCTTGTCCTTAAACGTTCCCTTTTGATATTTTTCTGCCTCACTAATGCAACTCGTGTGAGACCTATAACTAGTTCCTACAAACGTTTTAGAGCAATCGATGCAAGTAAACGTGGTAACAGGACACTTTATACGGTGCTGATCAAGTTTAGGTTTCTTGATAACGTCAGCGCACTGGTCACAACTAAAGGACACCATTTCTTTATAAACGATAAAAAATAAAAAGAACTTATATACTTATGGAGATTGCATCATTAAATATATGCACGAATTATCGGACCAATCAGGATTCAGATCTGTAAAAAAAAAAATATATATAAAATAAAAATTAATGTTATTAATTAACAGTATTAACGTTAATAATATTTAAATCGGAAATTTGTGTGTAGTATTTTATAGTAAAAAAAATTTCGTAAATTCGTAAATTTTATTTAACAAATTACTTGAAAAAAGACAGATTAAAAACCCTTTAGATATTTTAATAGGAAAATATGTAGATATAAAATATTTACTTGACATGAAAAAAAACTATTATCAAAGGTGAATTTATATCTATAAGAATGTTACCACAACAAGCAAAAGCATTTTTTTTATTCACAGTAACGCCCATCAAAGAGAAATAAAGAATAAAATAATAAAAAAGAAAAAAAAGAAGAAAAAAAGATAACAACAACTTTAAACCATCATCCATTAAAATATTTTTTATAAAACAGCAGCCCAGCTAAATAAAAAAAAAGAAGTTTAAAAAGAATTTTAAAATGATATAAACAGCCGAATCTATGGATTCATCTTTATTCAGCAGGATTATGCTTTACCCTCTTCCTACCAACACGAGGGGTCGCAGACGAAGTTTGAGTGTCAAATGATGATGCTTGAACAGGAGAAGAGTAAGAAGAATTACTAGATTGATGAGTTGCAGGTACGTACTCGAACTCCATGTTATCAATAAACTTTTTCAACGTATCGTACACCTTGTTATTGAATCTGATATCATCATGTTTTGCGCGGACATGTTTCTTCATCGCCAAAAGACGATTCTGATATTGGAAGATCGGAAGACCAGGATACTTTGAAATTAAGTATGTTAGAAAGACAAATTCTACGGGAGCTAATTTGTTATCACGATGGAAAAGTTCGGTATCATCTTCGATCATCTCTTCTATCGTTCGATAAACTTGATTTGCTAACGTTCGAAGAGATTCCGGAACTTCACGATCTTCCTTCAAAAATTTGGTAATGGTTGCTGGAGTAGCATTAAATTTTTCTGGTTCCATTTCAATCATGTGTAAAGATTGAGTAATCAATTGAAAAGGTCGAGCACGTTTTGTATCCATTATAGCAGATATGGAAGGATGTTGAGTGTAAATTGTATGCGCAAAGTCAGCCATCGGACTACTAATAGCTTGGAGTTTCTCAGCTGGCGTTAAGGCAACGCCAAGTTGCACACGACTAAAGATTTCTTGCTCTTGATGCAAGGTAAGATCATAATATTCGACTAAAGAATAATTAGTAACATATTGCTAAATATACTAAAAACAAGAAAACAGATATTTACCACACAAAAGTTCACTACAATCAAAAAGTTCCCTCTCGGCTTCAGTTAAGGAACGTTTCGAACCATTAATACTTTTATAATATCGTTTGGAAATATTACCATCTGAAGGACTAAGATGAGGGATTTCATTATCCATGAACCTAAGTTTATCGAAGTTGATTAGCGCAACGTTATAGAAATCCCGGTCGCACGAAATGTACCGCAGATGGACATCGCACACCCAATCATATACTATTTAAAGAAGACGTTCAGATTTA